TTTTTTTTTTTTTTTTTTTTTTTTGGTCGTGGGGGATGGTTGTTGTTGGGGTTTTTTTTGATCAGGAGGAGTCCTTGCTCTCATCACTTTTCAAATGGATGAGATGACTTCAAAAATTTGAGGGGAGGAATAAGTTGTTCTTCTAGCTTCTCCTGGCAACACACTAGGATCTGGCTCTGAGTTAGTGACTTCTGGTTGTGAAGTAGGCTAAATTAGAACAGGTTTCTATTCCTTCCCTGTCTGTGTGCTTCTTTTTTATATATCCATAATCAGTTTAGTGGAATTTGTTGCCTGTGTAGACTGCAGACATTCTCATCTTCTCCCTGACCATGGGTTAGATTGATAGGGTCAAATCTCTGCAAGTTTGCTGAAATAATAAAGCATTTCAGGGTTAGATGCTCCTAGTGTCAGTATTGAAAAGCCCAGTGACAAGAGTTCACTGTTGAGATTGGTGTCTAAATGTGCAAACTCTTCTATGCCCAGACAATTTTCGTGTTCTAACCTGGGCAGATTGTCCTCTTGTACTGTGCACAGACTTCCTTTATAGGAAGGTTTCCTAACAAGAGTTTATTTAATATGAACCTCATGAACAGAGTCAAAAAGAAAACAATATTGTACCAATATCTGTTGTCAATGTTTCTTGCTTGCAGTAGTGCTTTGTTTCTAAAGTTGCATTTTTCAGAACTCTTAACTTCTCTGAATTTCATTCCAGTGCTTACATGGTACTGATTGCACTTGGAGAAGGGGAATGAAATTTGCAGAAGTACTTGGGAGATATAGCCACACAATTCGTAGTAAAATTAATGGGATTTTTGTAGTTAAATATGCTAGGATGCTTTTAGAATTTTGGTGGGGGGGTCTGTCTTAGTTGGTTGAACTTCAGAGATGCAATGAAACTATACTAGTCTGGTCAAAAGTAGAACTGGAAAGCAAGACTTAAAATGGGAGATGCTGGGTTAAATATGCACATTAAGTGAAGATGCTGTCACTATGCATATATGTACTTTCTATAAGCCTGTGAGCTTTTAGGAGCATGGTAAATGACCAAAGTTTTGTGTTTTAGCCTGAGAATTCTGATCAATCAAGTTCAGAGAGTGATACAGAGAATGAATCGGAACGTGTCTCAGAGTATCACAAACTTCTGGCCTTGTTAAAAACTGTTCCGGGTACTGAAGAGGAGGAGGATGAAGATGAGTCTGAAGAAGGTGATGAAAGTGAGGCAGAATCAAACAGTGAAGGGCCTCAAGAAGTTGGAGGTACAGATGAAGAAGATGATGAGAGTGATGTGCTGGGCCAGGAAGAAGGTAGTTTTATTTTTTCAGATTTATTAGTGATGTTTGAATCATAAAATACAAACAGACTGTGACACTGGATCCTAGAGCAGCTGGGCTCTCTGCTGGGTTTCTTGTTAGAGGTGCATTTGCTTTGGGCGCGACTGAGCCTGAGATGAAAGTAGTTACCACATCTTCTGTGCCTCAACCTTCCTGTAGCAGCAACTATTAGATGCATGCAGTTGTTGAGACACAACTCTCTTGTACCCTGGCAAGTAGCCAGCCTTTCCCAACCTCCTATCCAGGGAATCCTCATACTGCTGGATTCTGTTACACATGGGCAGTCTGGAGGCTCTAAACTATGCTTTCCCCCATGGCATGATCTGCCGTAGAAGATGGGTCAGGATTTACCTCTTAGAGAAAATACTACTTTCTGCTTTGCAAGGAGACAGTCATATTTATGAGGTCAGCAAAGAATCCTGGCAAAGAGGTGTCAGCTTTATGCAGCTTTTACCCATTTAAAATAACATGTCTGTTTTGCAGATGGGTGTTCTGGTTGCCAAAGGTATTATTTTAAAATAATCCTGAGGGCAACACAATATGCTGCATGTGACATTTGGCATGTGAGGTGACAGAAGGCCTCTTACTGTAACGCACAAACCTTCTGTTCTTTGCTCAAAACAGAGAGCTTGAGTACTTGGAAAAAATATGAGTACACAGCTGAACTAGTGTTAAAATCTAAGCAGTTAAGAGTCAGGTAACTGTACAGAACATTTCTCCTAGGAGAATCTAACCTATTTCTATCTCCAATAAGTCACAGCCAAAGACGCAATAAAGCAGGCACTTGGCCAGGAGCAAGCTGATGAAACAGATAACTCTGGTGACCCAAAACATGGAGCAATTGAGGAGTTCACTGATGTGAAACATGAATCTGAATTTAGCCTGGAAACCAATTTCATGGAAGAAGAGAGTGGAGATTACAGTACAGCTGAAAGAGAGAGCAGCTCTTCTCAAGAGGTTTCTGAAGGTAAAAGTGTGTGTGTGTGTGTGTGCGCGTGTGCGCAATGAGCTGTCCCCAGTACAGGTCCTTCAGTTTGCAGTCTTAATGTGCATAACAATCTATATATATTTATGTAGCTTACTCCTTAGGGCATTTGAATTCTTGTGGTACCTTACTTACGTAACTGGCTGAGTAGAAACCATATAAGTTATAGTTGAAGCTAATGTGGATGTACATTTTTTAATCCAGTCTCGGGAATATCTTTTTCTTTCTGTACTTGCACACAGCACTCCAGTAACAGTGCTCTGTGCATAACACTTGTTAGGATTCATCGTTTTTTGGTTTTTGTTTTTTTTAAAGAAAAACATCCAGCCTTGGTGTAGGGGTTGCTGGTGTTGGAGAATCTACCACATTCCTTTATAACTTTTTCTTGTGATTAATAATAGGGCTGTGCAACATTTTGCCGGCAGTTTTGTTTTGATGCTGTTTCGACTTGTTTTGAGCTCAAAATGGCGAAATCAAAACGAAATGAAGAGCTTTTAAATGGCCTCAAAACGAAACAAGGCAAGCCAAAACATTAAAAAAATTTCAAAATGTTTTGAGTTTCAAAGCTCAAGCTGGGCTTGCCTGCAAGGAAACAGAAACTAAAGTAAGGAGAGGGAGGGGGAAGTGGTGGGGAAGGAGCGCTCTCATTATTGACTGTAGCTGGCCAGTGACTGTGACCCTTCCCTGAGGTCCCTTCCAATCCCAGCGCTCTGGGGGAGGGATGGAAAAACTGCATAAAAGGCAGCATTGTTTGAACTGCCCTGCTTTCTGCCTTGGTGGCAGCGAGTGAGGGCTCTCACTCACTCACTCACTCACACACACACTCACTCACTCACTCACTCACTCACACACACAC